AACAAAATAATAACAATAATAATAATAATAATAATAATAATAATAATAATAATAATAATAATAATAATAATATAAAAAAACACCGTTTATCTACCACTGGCACCACCACAACTATCACCAATATCATCAGTCACCATCACTACTAGCTCTTGTTTGAGCACTCGCTGGCACACCTGTTAGGGGCGGCGACGCCAAATAACTCCCGCTTACGTCGCCACACCCGGTTTGCACGTAACGCAGCTCTCACTTTGGCCTGAGGAGGTCCTTGCGAGGACCAGCATCTCCTGGACACACACAAACAAAGTAGGTCAATGTCTCGCCGTTCCTCAAAGCCCGAAATGAATTCAGGAAGGCAAGATTCCAAAGTTCACTTCTACCTGTTAGGACGCAAGGTACGCCTTAAATACCTTTTGCATAAGCCTACGAAAGTCCGAGTTGCATGTAACCAATTTGGAAAATGAATTATGAATATTCTATCTTTCCTGCAATCATCCATAATTAAAAATGTAATATGATGTAACGATTTAATTGTAAGCAATGAAATTAATCTAACTGTGACAAGTATTGTATTTCTAGGCCAATGACCCCATCTTGATCAGGTTTTGTTCAGTTTCCCTGATCCTTTGAGCAAATGCTGAGATGGCCCCTTGTTTGCTCCTGAACAGTAATATAACTTCGCTCTCTCCACCCAAGGCATCATATTGACTCGTCATACACGATTGTAATTGTATATATGTGACTCAATAAATATTATTATTATTATTATTATTATTATTATTATTAATGAAAATAAAGTTAATAGTCACCACAGTCCAGGCTTCTTTGAAGGGATGTTCTCCTCAAGCCATAGCTGCTCTGAATCAAAGAGCTTCCGTATAACTTCGGTAGAGTTTCGGTAAAACTTTAGTTCTCGCTTTGAGAGAAACAGCGGTGTAAGAAAGATATCTTACACCATGTAATAAGAATATGTATTACATCGTGATACATAATCATCATCCTAAAGGAACAAAATGCCTTATCGCTGCCGCCATTACATTGCCTTCGGTTTCTTCATCTCTGAATAGTTTCTGAAGTGTAGTTAGTTGTATTGAAAGTATACGGTGGGTATAACGTAGTGGTTAGCTACTTAATAAATAATGGGGAAACACCATCAACCATATCGCAAGTTTAAAGAAGACGATTTTTTTGGTCGAAACAGTATTAGTGTATTAACCTCCAAGTATCTCCCTCAGTGGGGTACAGCCGGAACAAGCTCTATGCTCCTGACTAATGTGTGGTATAGTGGCGAGTTTTCAAGTTTGCCATTGTGTACGTGCGTGTAGGTATGTGTGTGTGTGTGTATGGGGGGGGGGAGCAAATTCGAACTCCAGAGCAATTTGAATATACAGCTACACGAACGAAATATCTTTTTAAATGTATTTGTAGGAGAGTGTGTGAACATTTTCAATTTTCAGAATTCTATAAGTTCAAATAAAAATCGTACCTAAGGCATATTTTCAAGCTAGCTTTAAGAAATAAAAAAGCTCTCAAAATTGCGCGAAAACGCATATTTAAGAAAAATACATGTCTTTATTTTAAAAATCAAAAAGATTTCATTAAAAACAAAACCTTTTATCTTCAATAATGTAGTTGTAAGACAGGGTTTAACACGTTTCAACATTTTGTAACTTTTCAAAATTTCAGTATTTATTAAAAACTGGACCTGTACCATTTTTATAAGCATACTTTGCTCTATTAAAAAAAAAAAAAACTCAAGAAAAGATTGGAACTAAGTTTGAGAAAATTTTTAATGTCTTGGGGAGAGGGTCCTGATAAATGTAAAATAACTTCAAAAATTGAAAGATACACTTTTAAATTTATGGGTTCATTTATGGGTCAAGATCAATTGAGAAATATCCATTTTGGTGAAAATTCCGTGTACAGTTTCGGCACTAGTGTTGTTCACAATCACACATTTTAGAGAAAACCCATCTTTGGTATGAGGGACCCCACAATAAGTATTTTTGTCAAGATCTCGATATCCATTTTTTAGTTGCATTACAATACTTTATTCATATTATAAATAAATTATTACTTCACATCTCAAGATATACAATAGCATTCATGTCAAATATTGAATATTCAGAAATACTTTGTTTACTAATAAAAAGTGCTGTAGAAATGCTAATGTTGATTAATATAATACCTGATCTTGTTAATAATAACTTCAGTTTGTATGCCAATTTTTGGTGAATATTCAATTTGTAAATCGTGTTTCTAAACGCACTTTTGTTTTTGCCAAATTCCAATGTTAAATTGATTTAATTATTAAATTTATTATCAATTAAGAATAATATTAAGTTTTCACTTAATAATTACTTCATTATTAATATACTTCTTAATTGTATTTCAGTTCAACTAATACATTGACAAAAGACATGCCTTGTACAAATGGTTATATAAGTAGATCCATATAGCACATATTTCAAAACAAAAACAGTGACAATTTGTTTCAGACAGCTGAAAGCAACAATATTTGGAAAGGGACCCATTACCTTCAATAGCTAAAGGACCATTCTTCATATGTTGGTGCTGCAATTCGAGGTGGGTCTTGGCCTGCTCAACAACCTTCTGCCACTCCTTCCTACCTTGAGCAATCATTTTCCAATTCTTAATTTTCATTCTACGTTGGTCTTCCGCAATGCCATTTTTCCATTTTATTTTTGGTCTGCCTTAATATCCGTAGCTATTGATTTCCATTTTGTTATTTTCTTAGTGATTCTATCTGGATCCATCCTTTCTAGATGTCCAATCCATATTATTCTCCTAGATTTTATTTCTCTAACAATATTTTTTTGTTTAATCAGTACTCCCAATTCATCATTTGTTTTCAATCTCAAGATATTTTCATCAAGTCTCTTAGGGCCATTGATTTTCCTCAAGAGCTTTATTTCAAATATACTTAACTTTTGTAAACTGTTGCTTCAGTACCCATGTTTCACTCCCAAAAATCGCTATAGAGTTTTAAGCTAAAGGACTCATCAAATTTAAATCCAGCACTACATCATCCTTAAAAAAATAAAAGGAAAATTTGGTTTTATCTTCTAAAGTTGGCTAAGTTGAAAACTGTGTGGTTCTACCTGTGTAGAGTTGTGGAAACTTCTTTGCATCATGTTTTGATACTGTTTACAGTACCAAATAGTAAAGTGAAGTGAAGTGAAAACGTACTAAAATACATGGATAGTGATTCATTGATTATGGATACAGTGAGTTAAAGATAATCTACCCAATACATGACCTAAATTGGAGCCAAATAGAAATAAGAAAATGAAGATCCTTGAGTTTCTAATCTTAAATTAGACAGATGTGATTTGTATAAACAATTTTTACATGAGTGAAAAAGAAATTACCCTAATTGCAGTTTATCAGTAAAATAGGACTAATGTGCCTGAAAAAATATTTTCAAAACAAGAAAGGAATAAAAATAATGCAAGTAATACAACTTCCATGTAATTTTCAACACCTGTGTGCTTGTATATTCAGGAGGAAGACAATATACATTAACATATAAAATGTTCTTAAATTGTCTGCAGTTTGATTGTTAATCAGTAGTCTTTTTCATGTATTAGATCCAATAATGTAATATGAATGCATAAATAAGATTTCTTTAATTGTCTTGCACAATCAAGAAAGTTTGCCTACAGTAAAATAGATTATAAACAGATATCACAGCTTCAAATTTAACAAACATGTCTCTTCAGTGTTTTTCCCAAAAAGTGACAGAGGTCAGGAGGAAAGAAGTCTTGTGGGCAAGTTCCCCATTTGGTCAATGACCAGGCATAACTAGTCATCAATAAACTCCCTTGGACTGCAATATAAAAAATTAGGAAAAAGCTGGTAAAAGAAAAGTTCCCAGACATCAAATCAATAATGAAAAGGATGCATACAGTAGATTTAGAATAATACAATGCAGTATTTTAAATGAACGATTTGTTTGGTTCTCAGATGTGAGATTCTTTGAACCGAAGATAATCTCTGCTGACAACAATAATTTATATCACATATATTTAACACACTAATTATTATACTCTCATAAATATGTCAATATGTAATTCTAGGATTCACACTATTTATTTTAAAATCATAGAGAATTCCTTACCACTTATAGCGAGTCCTGTACTGAATACCTAACATTAACTCAGACTGTGTCACAAAACACCAGTCATTCTGCTACATTTCATGACTTGTACACTGAATCAGTGAATTTTAAAAAAAAAAGAAAAAGAAAAAAAAGCTACCCAAGGATTTCCTAAAATGATTTGCTTTGGTTCGAACCTTTTTGTTCTCATCTTGTGAGTTCCCTGACTTGAAAAATCTCAGGAACACTGAAGTCCCTCCACATTGTTACAATGTCTAAACTTATCAACAAATTAACATTTTTTTAAATCTACCTCTGCAAATGTGCAAATAATTGGAGGGAAAATACATTAAGTCAATGGACTCTTACCTGGGAAAGTAATGTTTTTTGAACTTTTTTTTCTTTTGCTCTTGTGAAAAACATTTACTTACCAAAGTAATGTATGAACTGTTATTGCATGAATGAAATAAACATAAAAAAATCATTCACAATAGGCAAACAAATCCAATGTTGATTGACTTATATGAAATTGGGTTATGAACACACAAATTCTGAAAAAATGGACCGGTATTTCTTGTGAATAGAAAAAAAAGTATACTTCATAATATATTTTGTTATGAATCCCTATGTTTTTTGCCTTTGGGCTGCAAGACAACATCAATGGAACTTGGAGTCTACCTGATATTGATACTACAGATTATAAAATCATTTCTTCTGATAAAGGTTTCACAAAATGCTTCTAATAACACCTCTACTAAAACTACTAAAGGAAAGGAATTGTGGACAATCATTTTAAACTGCCAAACTATGCACCACTCACATATGGGAAATCATGAATTTGTACTGACCAATGTCATTCTTAACACAAATTTTCAGGATTTCAGTGATTTTAATGCAAACCATTCAGTTCTTAATTTTTTATTGCCAAAGGTGGTGTTTCATTTGTCAAATCTTTTTATCAACTCATCTCTCAACTATGTAATATAAATCTAACCAAAACAACCAAAAGCTTCTATCTCGCTCCAGTTACTCAACATAAATATGATGCATACAGACTTAATAAATTATGTTAGTAAGAGTAGAAAGAATAAAATTCAAGGAGTCAAAAGTCTGTTTGCTTTTGTTTTACTCTATTTCCATACAACTTTAAGAAGACTGGTTCTTATGAGCTAAAAGGGCACCTACAAGACGCACAATAATGCAATAATAAATTTCTCATATTTTCTTTTATTTCTCTTGGAGGAGATAACATTCACTGCTATAAGCAAAAGAATAACAAAATGATAGATAACTTCAAGTTGAGACATTCATGAACCATTATTCAGTTTGTGAATAACCAGTATTGAAACTAAACACTTATCGTGCCATCAAACGTTTAACACAATGTACTTTAAGGATATAAAACAAGAGTGATTTTAATTTTTATTGGTGAACTGAAAGATAAGTTGAAAGATCAACTCAAAATTTTAAACCCAAAGAATTTCGAGTTTTCTAAAAGCAACTAAATAGCTTAATTACTCTATTGAATATAGGGCTCCTGCATTACAAAAACTTTGATTTATCAAACCAAAAAGACCTCAAGAGGCATTCAAAATGAAATTTTTATTAATCACTTTTAACTGTCAGGATTAGTCACATTAATTATAAGAAACAATTAATTTGTTTTAATTTGGTACATACAGAAAGTTCCTTTTTCCATCGCACAATACACATTAGCTGAAATATTTTGGTCTATCCACATCCATGATTGGAAGGTAATGTTTTAAATCTTAAGAAATAATAGCAAAATTAGTGATGCGCTCTCCTCCAGAGCATATACACTTGCAACATTTTCAACATATGGCAATTGTTCATAGAAAATGTACTGCATAACAGTTTTAACTTAAAGTAAAGCACTGATATTTTGTTGAAAGCAAGATGTATTTAAAAAATGTAAGTATTCAAATTAGCACAGTAATTTTAATTTTTACTACTCTCAGGACTTTACTACACTTAATTTTTTCAACCATCAGAATTCCCAATTATTAAAATGAGGATTGACATCTTTATTTAATTTCTTCAAGCTACATAAGCAAAACGGGCTGAATATGTTTAAAAGATGATTATATTGTCAAATTTATTGTATTTGTTGATTAGTAATTGGGCAGTTTCAACAATAACCTTTTTGAAAAGTTGGTGAAATTGTTTCTAAAACACTGAAAAATAAATCAGGACGCAAGGTAGACTCTTCAATGCAAATTTTTTCATGGAAGGTTGAGCTGCAGGATCGTACATTTCTATATTAAATTTTTCATTAAGTTTGTACACAAAATGAATTCAAGTTCTGTAAGACTATTTTATTTATCATAAAAAAATTTCATCACAAAATCTGTACATCTTACATATATGATACTCAAAAATAAAACGAAATTCACAAAGATGGAATGGTTTGAATGAAACCAAGTCAATGATGGGGTGAAACAAAAGCTAAAATACAAAATCATTTTTACTACATCAAAGTCTTGCATCTGTCTATTGTCATCTTGCTGTGCTTAAGAACTTTCAGAAGAGACATAATTCATTATTTTAATTTTAGGAGCCTTACTTAAAACAATTATTGTTATAATTTATTCCAAGCTGGAAGTAAATATTTATTTAAAAATTTCAATTTTCTGCCCTCCATCAGTCAAAAACTTCAGGTATATCCTAATAGGAAATTTTTTCACAAATATTTTCTACATAGTATCGAGAGTGTAAGGCTGGGTTAAGATATGTTAGTCAAACATTAAAAACAATATAAACCTCACACTTAAATGTTTACTCACTACTTTTGAAAGGCAAAGGTAAAACCACATGTAGTGATCTTGAGTCTCATGTAAGCTCTACACCCTTGGGTATATAAGTCCAGCATAGTTTCAGCCACCACAGCAACTGCTCAGGTACGTAACACTAACATATTTTCTGATCCAGAGACACTGATTCTCCAAGACATTTAATGGAATATGCACTTACACATTTTAGGTCTGAGTATGAAGTAGAAGTGTAATGAGGCACTTTGGAAGTGCTGAAGAAATTAAATACATCTTCATGAAAAGTACATTCTAAAAGACATTGTAAGTCTTACTTCATTTTTGGTTTGGATAGATCATTCTCGATATATGAGGGAAATTGCCTCTAATGGCAGGTGCAACGCAGAAGATGTCTGAACACACACGGTGCTGTAGGGCTCCAGGCACAAGATTGGCAACATGTACATCAGTGTTTCTCAGCCTCCTTTTCTATCTACCTTACAAAATTTTCTGCTGCCCATCTACTTATCAAAAGTTTTTATGTACAGACAGAGAAAAATTCTACATTCTAATATACTTTATTCTACTGACCATAAAAATTATAAATATACACATAATAAAGTACAAATATACTATTGAGAAGTACATAAGTATTATAAACAAAATCTTTTCACATCCTTGTAAAATTTTTCTCTTAACATACATCAGTATGTGTATCCTTCATGTGCTCTCCATCAATAAGTTTACATTTCAAAAATTAGTCTTGGAAAATATAGTTCAAATTCTCTTGCCTGTATCACGTTTTTCAGTTAGAGGTTGAGAAACATTGGTATACAATGAGTCATTCATCAGTGCAGACCTGGTAGTCTACACTCAGACCTACGAACTTGTGTCGCTGCTTGTGTCACCTCTTTCCTCATTGCTGGTGGATGTCATATTGTATCCAATCTCATGGTATCGGACAGGGTACGTTAACTGATTACCCTTGTCCCAAGTAAACAGTTCCTGAAAGAAAAATTGGGAATTTCACTTTCATCAGCTCTGTCACCTACAATAAGCATACAGGATTACATCTTAAATAATATTTATTATTAACAAATGATGACATAAGTCTCTGTCTTTAAAATCTCTGCCATTTCTTAAAATTCTATTAGTAAAATAACTTAACATTGAAAGAATCTAATGTGCAGGGCCAGTCAACAACAAATATCTTAGTACCTTACTTTCATCTTACACATTTGTCATTATTAAAACTCACTTTCTCAATGTGATTGGTTGAACAATTTTGTCGAAACTTTCAAAGGCACGCACCACCGCACACATGCGTGCAGAGACATGGGCACGCGTGCACACACACAAACACACATATGCACACACACATTAATTGACAATGTAGAGTTACTATCCCCCATCCCCCTTCAAATTTGAAACAATCTGTGGAAAAGCAAATAATATGGGCATAGGGGGTACTGTTATTCATGCCAACACTGTCTATGCCATCTGTCATACACAGCAGCCCAGTATCCGAGAACCATTCACTATTATAATGTCATTGCATTAAAGAAAATGGTGTTGATTAAGTTTGTTACTCTGGATTCAGTTGTGATGTAACAGAAGTGTCCCTCACCTGTTCAAAGTAACTGATAGAAGCTTCCTTTTCGTTGTTTGTATAATGGCTAAATTAAACTTAATTTATAAGTTTAAAGACTGGCTGAATGAGCTGAGGTCAGCAATTATTGCCACTGCAAAGACTCTTATCAGGAGGTTCTAGGATTCGAGTCCCAACAGTGGTGGATTTTTTGACTAGCTAGATAGCTATGTCACATTCAGATGCTTTCTGCAAGAGAATTTTGACAGCTGGCTACTCTGATTGATAGTTTTCTATGGCTCCTTTAATCCTTAGCAGGCAAATGCTGGAGAAGAACCCTAACAAATGGACCACACACCACACACAATCCTTCCTTCCTCATTCTTGTCCCCATGTTTCCCCTTATGTACACCACTTTTACATGTATTATACTATAACACATGCCAGGAAGCATGCTGGGAGGCTTAGAGTTTGACTTAACTGAGGCGGTACTCTGCTGGGGGAGAAACCTGTGTAAACAAGTGGAGTGGAGGTTACCGCCAGATCTCATATTTCAGAAGAAGAGGAAAACAGCCACTTTTTTGGGATGTAACATGCAGATCATGTGGGGGACTATGACCATAGCAGTTGACACACCCAGAAATACCCATTAATCAACCAACTAACTAACCAATCAACCAACTAACCAACCAACCAATCAATCAATCATTAAGTTGAAAGCTTAAATATTAACCCAACCCAAATATCCCACCCTGGGCATGGATGTTTGCGTGTATCTGCATGCGTGTTCTTCTACCATTACCCACAAGTCATAAAACTCATGACAAATTACAGTGGACATCATACAACCATAGCACTTGAAAAGCAACTTTAAATAAGTAAATAAAAA